GTACCTGAATTTGGACTGTGGTTCATCACTTCAGACTCTGATGCTGACTGAGGAGTCCTTCCTGCTTGTGCATCACTGTTCTGTGAAGTGGTGGTGGACCCACTGGGACAACTGTGGTAGCTCATTCCATTGGTTCATCCTGGACCATGCTGGCCTGGTCTGAGGAAAACCAGAAAGAGCATAAGGAAGGAGGCTCATCCTAGCTGTGCGCCCACTCGCCCCCTCATGGCAGGCAGCTCTTGGTTGACTGGTGGAATATTTCACTCATTTCTGCATGTATACTTTCATATCTTCATTCTAAGCACCTTGTCCATGAGGGAAAATGGTGCAAGGTCAACCTCAGGAATGCACGATGCTATCGTCACATAATTGCACCCACACTATGCACAGAAGGTTGCACTCATGACTGGTCTGGGATTTCTTCATGCAGAAATGCACAGGATATGTGTTTTTGCAAAATTAGCAAAAGCCAAATGTTTCACCTGCAGCTACTTGAGCTCTCCATCTCTTCTCACTTTCCCCGTGGTCACATCTGCTTTCCTGTGGGGAGACACTGAGGTGGCTATAATCACTTTGGAGAACTGATCCAGGGTGGTTAATTGAGAGAACCATTTAACTCTGATTTGGCAGGAGGCAGCTTCGGAGGGCTGATATTAATGTGCACACAGTAGAGTTACAGATGGCCCTGGGGGTGTGGCTTCCCAGGTACACATGTTGCTGACTCTGCAGGTTTGTCCAGTGTTGGGACATAAATATGTGGGGAAGAGGGCATGTCAAAACATTACTGTGGTTCATGTCACCCTGCTCTGGAGCAGGGCAGGGAGGACAATATTGTAAGATAGAAAATGAGTGGAGCAGAAGCTCATCCATGGAAAATTCTTGAATATCTTCCAAATCTACAAATCTTTCAAGTCTTGAAGATACTCAAGATAATATAGGACAATCCTAGAATTTGCATGATTGGGAAAATTATGGATTTTAAGATGAGACTAGTCTAAACTAAAACATTTCCAAAACAAACAAAAACATACATTTCCATGAGCCACACCAGAGAGTAAAACAAATTATTTTTCTTTACTCTTTATAGGAAATTGCATTACAAACTTGCTTGTGTGGAAGAGACCATCGGAGCAAGCATTGAAGAAGGCAGACAATATGGGGAAGCAGGAATATTATGGGGGTGTGTACGGTAATCAGTTAATAAGAGTATTTGTGCTATTTTTAAAATTTTGTGGCACTTGCAATGTTAATTGAGCTTTTAAATTTTTATACTTTGTTGTGATTTTTTTCTAAATATGAATGTTGTTTCATGCCTAATGTTATATTTCTCGTGTTATCATATTTATTCATAGAGAACATCACCTTCCAATAAGTAATTACATGAGTTTCAGTCCCAGTAAGACCTGGTTTGCCGTGCCTTTGACTGATAGCTCTCTGGGTCGGCCATGCTCAACAGACAAACGATTGATGGGCAGGGAGCATCAGAGGAGTCTGGTGGCGGTCACCCGGGCCTTGTGGTTGTCAGGGTCTGTGAAGCCCAGTGGGGGCTCCCCTTTCCTCGGATCTCAGGAAGGCATTCATCTTCCCTCGCTGTCCAGAAGGAAGAACCACCTCTGCTTCAGCTGTCTCCAGAGGCTGGTGTGGCCATGTGAGAGAAGCAGCAACTGCCTGCCCAAGGGCCCCAGGTCACCTCCAACAGAGACAGCTTCCAAAGAGGAGCCTGATCATGATCCGCTTCTTGTTTAGAGCTCTGCTC